GCCTCTTCAGTGGGCACCTCCCGGGCCTGGCTGAGGTCACTCTTGTTGCCCACGAGCATGACGACGATGGTGGCCTCGGCGTGGTCATAGAGCTCCTTCAGCCAGCGCTCCACCACGGCATAGGTCTGGTGCTTGGTCAGGTCAAACACCAGTAGGGCCCCCACCGCACCTCGATAGTACCTGCGTGGGGGGCGGCAGGAGCGACGGAGGCAAGGTCAGAGCACAGCCCTCAAGCCGAAAGGTCAGACACGAGACCAGAGGTGGGGTCATATGAAAGCTGAGGTCCAGGGACCCAAACCTAGACGGGGCAACTCCAGGGTCCTGCGTCTGATGCCGAGAGCCCTCCGGGTCACCAGTATTGCAGCCTCCAGAGTCACCTTCCTTCCTTCCTCCCGCTTTTTCTAGCCCACTGTTTCCTTGGGTCCTCTGTTCTTTTTTAAAAGTTTATTTATTTATTGGGGGGGGAGGGGCAGGGAGAGAGAGGGAGACCGAGAATCCCAAGAAGGCTCGGCACGATCAGGACGGAGCCCCGTGTAAGCTCGAACTTACGAATTGTGAGATCATCATGACCTGAGCCACCCAGGCGCCCCTTGGGTCCTTCGTTCTGATGTTAGCCCTGGATGGCCACCAAAGAGCACCTGCGCCCCACTCGGCCTCCTGGATGCCCCTTTCGGTGGGCACGTTCCTCACATGGCTCCTGCATGCGCACCGTCCTCTTCTCGCTCACGGCCACCTTTCTAGGACCAGCTACAAGCCCACCCCATGCAGCAGTCCCTGAGGTGACCATCTGAGACACCCCTGCAGGCATCCAGCCTCACTCCTGGGGTGAGATGGGGCTTTTTCAGGCTATGATATCTAATTCTTCCGTTTTACTCATGTGTCAACCGAGGCTCAGGAGAGGCCAGGGGACCAGCCCAGGAGTGGCGAGCGTGCGTGTGACCGAAGCCCTGGACTCCTGCTTCCTGCCTCTTGGCAGGTGCTGTCCTCCGTCACACCCACAGACCACCCCCCTCACGTCCAGCCGGACACTGGCAAATGTCCTGCATGGGTGTCCGGAGGCGGAAGGTCCTCTGTACCCCGAATGTTTGTAAAATGCAGCTGAAGGGTCCAGCCCTTCAGGTCTGTGATGAAATGGCAGCGGTTGCTGAGTGTGAAGCAGAAGGGAGTCAGGAAGGGCTCAGGGGCGGCTGCTTCCCCTGCCACTAGCAGCCGGGGTCGCTGCGTCCTGCCTCCGGCTGCGTGGCTCACGGCACCCATCCGTGTCTCGCCGGGGCCACGGCGTCCCGGGGTCCCCCCAGTGCGCACGGGGCCCGTGGCCTCTGCTCCACAGGCCCTCCCTGACTTCCCCAGCGCCCCCCTCCCCCCCCCCCCAGCCCCCAGGCTCACGCGGAGGTGATGGCCCGGTACCGCTCCAGGCCGGCCGTGTCCCAGATCTGAGCCTTAATGGCAGCGGTGCCCAGCATGACCGTGCGGGTGGAGAACTCAACCCCGATGGTGGTGCGGCTGTCGTGGCTGAACTCATTCCGTGTGAATCGGGACAGCAGATTGGTCTTCCCCACGCCTGACTCACCGATCAGCACCACTGAGGGGGCAGAGAGACAAGGGCTGAGCTCGGGGGTCTGTCCATCCAGAAAGGGAGCTGAGCTCGGGAAACTGAGGGGGACCCAGGGGACTGCAACTCTGCAGGATCCATCCTCCCCGGGTGAAGGGCCGAGAGTCTGAAATGGGCCGCGGGCCCGTAAGGCTTCTTGGCCTGGTCCGTGGAGACAGGACCGCGCGGTCAGCCCCCATTTCTGTGATGGGGTGCCGTCTGTCTGTGGGAGTCAGTGTTCAGGGGCCGTGAGGCTGGCAGGGTGTGTGAATGCGGACAGAGACCGTAGGCAGTCTGGGGAGCGTGACAGCGCCGTGCCTGTGTCTGTGTGTGAGCTGTGAGGACGAGGAGGAGGCTGGGCGTGCACGTGCGCACACGCGTGTGGGGAGCCGTCGTGTGAACGGAAATGTGGGGAGAAGAGTGTTCGGCGGGTGATCCTCACGGAGGGGCACGGGTAAGGACACGATGGGCCGGGTGTCGGACCGGCCCACCCTGACCTCTGTCGTACGACAACTGGGAATAGTGATACTATCTATTTTACTGGTTGTTGCAAGAAATAAGTGAGATATCGCCCAGGCTGGAGTGAGCGTGCAAAAACCCGCTACCATCGTGATCGTTGTCGGCAGGCCGGTGTTATCACCGTCAGGTTTCCAGGGCCCAGGATCCACCGGTGGGGCCACAAAGAGCCTCGGGGCCGGTGGAAAGCGTCCAGGGCCCAGGTTTACCCACCGCGGGTGAGCGAGGGGCTGGAGGAGGGCGAGGGGGCCGATGCAAGCATGACCCGCTAGTTGCGCAACACCGAGCACGCATCCAGGGTGACGGGAGGCCCCCCAGGTTCTGGAAAAGCAGGCTGGCGCCTTGGGAGCCACGCGCTCTGGGCGCCGCTGCCCACTCGGCCTCTCACTAGCTAGTGACCTCGAACAGGTGGCTCAGTCCTTCTGGCTTTCAGTTTCCTTGTTTATAAAATGCGTCAAAGCCCCTCAGACTCATCTCCCCCCTCCCGGTGGGAGGGGCTCAGCCTGTCCTCAGGCCCAAGAGGTGCTCAGGGCAAGGGCTTTGGGGTCCGACAGACCCGGCTTCGCGTACGGGCTGGGTGACCATTTGTCTCGTCCTCGGCTGTGAAACGGAGACGCTGACAGTTCACACGGACTGAGTGCCTACTATGTGCCGGACGCCATCGTAAAAGCTTTACACACGTTCACTCGTGTAATTCTCGCATTGGTGCCACGAGGCAAGGCCAGTATTATTATCACCCCATGTTTACAGACGAGGAAACGGAGGCACTTGGGCTTCGGTGGCTGGCACCAGATGCCACCGCTGGTGTGGCAAACGCAGAGGTGCCCTGCGGGGGGCGCTGGTTGGCCTCGCTTGAGGCCCTGGCGGTCCTGGGCCGCCTGCACCCAGCGTCCGGGCAAGGCCAGGGGCACAGCGCTCCCCGCCCTCGGCCGAGGCTTTGTGACCCTGGGCCGCACAAAGCTTCTCCCCGCTGCTCAGTCTTGCTTCCTCTCCCTTCCTTGCACCGGTGTTGATCCACAATAGACGTCTTATACCCCAGACTTCTTAGAGTCAGCTTCCGGAGACCCCAACCCACACTAACTAGTGACCGACAGAGCTGCCCTCTCACAGTCGATCTGGCCCCTGACCGCTTTCAGAAAGAGAGATGCATTTTGGGGTTGTTACGGTGGCCAACGAGCCAGAGCGGGCACACGCTGAGGGCTCAGTAAAGGGCAGTTTCTAGTAGCACCGTTTGTCCCAGCCTCCCCTTCCTGGGAGAGAGGCCGGGACAGCACGGGTCCCCCGGCCCCAGCAGCCCGAGTCCCAGCTTGAGCGAGGGCGGGGTTGAGGCCGGGAGAGGCGGCGGGGTGGGGTGGCTGGGCCGGGAACGAAACGACGGCTCTGCCAGTGAACCCCGCCCTGGAGGAGGGGTGCGTGGGGGCTGGGGACACCAGAGGGTCCAACGTAGGGGCTGAGGTAAAGGAGCGGGAAAGGTCATGCTCCCGGGGCCAGCCAGGTTGAACCCAGGCGCCTGCTATTGGGCCCACGGGGGCTGCCGAGGGACGACCGACGGGGCCCCAGCCCTCAGTCTTCCAGGTTCTATCAGACCCTGCTCTCACTTTATGAGATCTTCCCTGTTTTCACCCCAAAATGGACAAAGCTCTCCTTTTCTTTTCTTTCCTGCACATGCACCCAGAGAGAGGACTTTCTTCCTCTGGAGGTTGTTTCCTCTTTCTCAGGAGGTAAGTCCTCCCTGAAATCTGACCTCCACCTCCTACGCTGTGGTGGCTGACGACTCTTAGGGACGTGGGCTTCCTCTACGAAGGGAGCAGAGGGGCCTAACTCGGCCCTACGCAGGCTTGCTCAACATCCTTATTTACAGCAGCAGAGCCTTCCCGAAGCCCCAGGACTTTTGCCCTAGTAATCGGACCCTCCCCAACTCCCTGCAGCTTTCTTTCTAATCCAACACGAATGAGGAGCCCTCAGGGGTCCAGGTGAGAGATTAAAAAAAACAAAAACAACAGAACGGGCGGGCGCTTTCAGGCTCTGCTGGTCTCTTTTTTTATAGACCCCAACTCACCCTTGAAGACAAAGTTATAATCTTCCTCGGTTCTGTTCCCCATCTTGGCTCCACATGGAGGGTACGAGTGTCTTCAGGGACAGAGGTGACGGGACTATGCGTTGGCGCAGTGCCCTCAACCCTCAGCTCTCCAGAGACCTGGGTCCGCGCCTCCTCTCATTGGGGGTGAAGAAACTTCTGCAGGCAGAGGGACTGAGGGCGACTTCAGGCTGGGCAGGGCCCTGGAGGCTCAGCGCTGGCAGGTGGGGTGCTGCGAGGAAGCCAAGGGGACGGAAGCTGAGAACAGGAAGAGCAGGCGGCAGGAGACCTGGGGCCCAGGTGGGTGGAGAGACGATGACGTCAGACAGGTTAGGCAGGTTGGGTGTCTGCTCCCAGTATGGGCTCCGGCAGCGGGGCG